TCTGGGAGAAAAAGCAAGAAATAGAATGCGAGAGAAATCTGACCACAACAACTCCAAGGGATTAAATAAAAATTCTTATGGCTTTCTGGAATCTCACACTGCATATTCTTGGAAATGAGCACGCCATAGGCAAATGCGAAGAATCTTTTATGATAAAGACACTCGGATTGTAACGTAACTGTTGTTATAGGATTTGACCTGAATGAGAGAAGAAACTAAACAGAGCTTTCTCAAGAGCGGTCTTTGAGGATGGATGGCGCTAAATTCCCAGGAGAAACAGTGGCTCTAATGAAACTTTAAAGACTCCCAACCCTCCCGTAAGGAGTTCTTGTTGGAGAACTAGAGAGACAGGGACAAACACGCATGGACTGTAACAGTGCACTGGCTTCAGAGGCCAAGGGATGAAAGCACAGGTCCTGGCTGTTCCACTAACTGCTGTGTGAACTTGGGGGAAGCCAGTTATGATTTCTGAGCCTTAATGTTCCCATCTATGGAATGGGGATGGAGGAACCCTAACCTAGAATTACCGAGAGGAGAGATGTTTGCAAAAACACCAGCCACAGGCCTTGGCACATAGTAAGTTCTCAATCAACACTAGCCTTCCCTTCTTCTCTCCTGATACCAGCATTTTTTAGATTTTATTTCTTTATTTACTTAGAGGTAGGAGGGGCAGAAGAACGGAAGGGGGGAGAGAATCTGAAGCGGACTCCATGCTGAGCACAGAGCCTGATTCAGGGCTCGATCTCACGACCCTGAGATCATGACCTGAGCCTGAAATCAAGAATCAGACTCTTCACTGACTGAGCCACCTGGGCCCTGATACCAGCATTTTTCATGCAATTTTCTAACCACAATAAAAAAAAATGTTTTAATTGCTTCAGTGGAAAATACTGTGTCTTCTGGTCCATGAGGTATGGTGGGAAGATTCCTGGAAGTTCTACTTCTGCTACTTACAAGTCAGAGCATCTCTGGGCCTGCCTCCTGGGCTGCCTCCTACACTGCCCCGCCAGGACGGTAACGAGAACGTTAGGAGACAATGTATGCGAAAGCACTCGGAAAACCCTGACGTGCTCTACAGAGGAAAGACCATGCCGCCATGTTAGCACAGTTCACAGAGAGTTGTCTGTGTCATTCTGCCTATGGGGACCCCAGACTGTGGAGATCCGGCCCACATGTGAGCCAACACCACAGAAAACCAACCCTGGAAGGAAAGAGATGAGCCAGTTGCAGAGGTGGGACTGGGAAATTCAGCAAACAATCCAACTTCAGCTCTCCAATCAGATGGAAACAAAGGGTAAGCTCGTCGGCTGAACTGTTTGGGTCCTTTCTGAAACTTACGTTGTTGTGAAGGGTTCTAGAGCAAGGGGACTAAGTGGAGAGAACAGGGAATCCATCGGGGTTCACTTCTTGGTAGTCAAGGAAGGAAGACATGACAGACTGCAGGGAGAAGTATTCCAGAGGCCGGAGAGGTGGACAGCACAGCAGAACAAGTCCATGATTCTTTCAGAATAAAGTCACGATCAGAATCATCATCCAGGCCAACTGGTCCCCCGCTCTTTGGTTCTATTATCATCCACACAAATCGCAACGATAGTTACCGTCGTTATTAGCGACTGCCATTTCTGAACATTGACCATTTACTTGGCACTGGGCTAAGAGCTGTATCTGCCTCTGGTCACTTCATCTTCCCCACATCCCCTCCGCAAAGGGGGCCCCGTTATGGCACCCATTTTGCAGATTGGCAAATAGAGATTCCAATTATCCACTTGGAAAATCCTTCTCCTTAAGAATCATTAATCCAAAAATCTTGAAGATCAAAGAAAGGATCTGAAAGTCAAGGAGATTCCAGTCTCTCAGACAGGCTCTCCCTTGCTGTGTATGAATCAAAACTTCTCTTTCTCACGCTCAATAAAGCACAGAGAACACCAAAGCAGCCAAGAGAAGATGGGTCCGTCGCTCATAAACCTTGAAGATGGACACAAGAGCCCTCGTCCCCAGCCTCCTTCGTGACGGACAACTTGGCCTTAACATCACTGGTTCCTTTTCTGGCCCGAGGAGGAAGCTGGCATGAGTAATGCGAGAGCAGCTTAGAAGTGGGGGACAGCCGAGCCAATCAGAACAATCCGGGCAACCTGACACCGGTACAGGGGGTGATGATTTCACTTCCTGCTTCTTATTCTGTACAGAGGGGACAAGAAAAGCCTTCTCAGCCATCACCCTAAAAAAAAACAACAACAACAACAAAAAAAAAACGAAAAAGCCGCCAAGCCAGGGCTTGGCAATTAGTGTTGGAGTAAGTGATCATCTTGTGATTGCTCAGCTGGGGCCTGAAGACTCGTAACCGCATTTAGAGGACAGAAATAGAAGAGGCTGAGAGAGAGCAGAGAAACCTGGCCCATTTGCCAGGAGAAAGATGTCCTGACGCTGCCGGGAAATTCACTCGGTTGGGATTGGGGGTGTGTCTTCATTAAGCGGGAGAAGTTCATAAATAAACCCATCGATGAAGCCAGTGTTTACCCCTTGACCCCTTCGCTCCTCTGTGACCCTCAGGCTCCCCTGGAAACCCCACGGAGCCTAGGGGAGCCCCTGGACAGGTGCTGAATTTCTCCTTCCAAGCTGAGCATCCTAATGGCCCCTGATGTACAACCAGGCCCAAACTGGGGGGTAGATGGATAGTAAACCGTCCTTCTTGCCAACAGCAGCTACTTTGGCAAAAGCTGGCCCATGCTTCCAGGAGAAGACAGGGCCCGAGGTCACGGGCAAGTTCACAGCCATCAACAGAACTACTCCAACCAGACCCCCCTCGGCCCCCTAAACCTTGAGAATCTCGCAAAGCCCCACCAGCCTGTCACTGCCACCACCCCCCAGACCCCGGATCATCCCCAAGGAGACGTGGGTCACAGCCTTCTTCTAGGACTTCAAGGGTAAGTCAAGGGAATGTTCCAGGACATTCCATTTCAGAAACACCTGAAACCCAAGATGTATCCCTGCTCCCACTTCTGCGACCCAAAGAAACATGACGGATCTCAAAGTCCCCTCGACTTCCCCAAGAGCTGCGGGTGACACAGTGCCTTGTAAGCCTCTAGGTCACAAGCACCCAGCCACTGTCCTTGAACAAAGGGGACAGAGCTTCTCCCATCTGACAGCTTCCCTCCCCCATGACCCTAGCCCACAAACTGGCCTTCCGTGTGTCCTATTCTGCCCACGCAGCTGTTTCATTTGGCCCATGGGGTTGAAGGGTTTTGTTTTACATTGCCAAGCATTTAAAACTTGAGGGGTTTCCCCAGACCTTTAGCTCTTCTTGAAAGAACAGTAAGTCTGGCAGCACGAGGCCCCACGTCCACCTAGCAGCGGTCAGCTGGCTGCCCCTTCCGCAGGGGACATGTGGTCCCCAGACTCCACTGTCCCCACCTGACGGGCCAAGGGCGCTTAGCTCTGTGAACTCCGTATGAGTCAGCGTGAAAAGAAAGACTCCTCAGAGGTCAGAAGAGTCTTCCCCCGGGGTATTTTACATTGAAATTCAAATCCCCCATAAAATAAACACCTGGAACATCTGGTCCAAGGCCCTCCTCTGGTCCCAGCCACGCCTCCCGCTGCAGAGAACACACACCGGGACACACTCACCACGACGCTCGCCTCCCGGAGATGGAGGCGACCGCTGCATGACACAGTTGGGAGGGAGGACTGAAGCGAAGACTTCGGGCCCTGGGCGAGGGCCTTACGGCGTGTGCCATTTCCAGACGGAGGAAAGGACGTGTAGCACAAAGAAGGGTGGCCATACTGATAAATGCACACACACACACACGCACACACACAAACCCACACACACACCAAGCACTGAGCCTGAGAAAGCACACAGAGAACAGCGGGTGAGGCCAAGACCCGTAAAAAGAACCACTCCTCCCACCACAGTCCTCCAGAAGGCCCTTCTCTCTTGCCCTCCTCTGCCGCTACTTTCTGAGAGCTTTCCCAGGGGTCTCCGCATCTTCACAGGAGAGGCCCATCCAGCGGGCTGTCCTTCCAACAGCGAAGGCCGAGTGCCTCAGCCAGTAAAACGGTCACATGGACAGAGGAAAGACTCACCGGCACATCATTGCTCCATTTTTTCACCCCAAATACAACAGACCTCCTCTCCTTCCCCACCTGGTCCCTGCAGAATCTCTCCTCTCTCAGGGAAGGTGCCCAGTGGAGGTCCAAGATGGCCACCATCCTGGAAGAAGGGGTGACCAGAAAGCAAGCACAGCGGGTTGACGTTCCCCTGACCAGCTACCCCGGCTTCCTCTCAAGCCCACCTTCTCCCCAGGACATGGCCGTCCTCCCACTGAACTTCACGGTCCTCACGGAGAACAAGGCCTGGAGAGAAAGCAGCGAGCTCATGTGAGTCTGCCCCACAGGTGCTACCCTGAGGAGGCCCCTCTGCCATCAGACATGGAAGGGAGGGGAAGGGGGTAGGGGAGAGACGTGCAGACAAGAATCCTACCCGGAGCCACGTGGCCTGGAACCTGTCCCAAACAAATCTGTGTGACCTCAGGTACAGGGGCCTCCATTCTCAGACCCGCTCTCCAGTGAACCCAGAACCTACTCAGACATGGCGCTTGGTCTGGCCCGGCCTTCCCTCTTCTGCCAACTGTACCCAACAAAGAGCGGCACACAGATAGACACTTTGGGACCCAAAAATGGTCTCAGAGGTGTAGCATTCACATCCCGGACAAGAGGGATTTCTCACCACTAACATTCCCATAAAATTGCGAATGAAAAGCGAACAACCCTGGGAGTCAGGAGGCTCTAAGCCCTGGTTTAGGCTCGTCCTTCTGACAGGAACCTTAGAGATGCTCAAATCCCAAACACTCATTTTTAAGAGGCAAAGTCTGAGGCCCCGGCACATAGTGACAAGCCAGGCCTGGACCCCAGGTGGCCAGCTGGCTCCACTGCCCAGCGCCCTCCCTGCTGTGTGCCCCCCCCCACCCTCTCCCTGAAGCCCAGGACCCAGGTCTACTCACATGTAGCGCAAGTGGGGGTTCTTGGCAAAGGCTCTGGGCTGGATGCTCCGAAGTCCTGAGTTCTTGATGGTCCTGGAGAGAGAGAGAGAAACAGGGTCAGCAGGGCTTCCGGAGCTGAGGGACATCTGCTCTGGGTTGAGGCTCACAGGAGGTCATGGGCCACCATCCGGGCCGGTGAACTGAACGCAATTCTCCATCATCAGCATCGCAGGGTGTCCCCCGGACGGCATCTGGGCTCACCCCCCACGGGGACCTGGGTGAGGGTTTGGGATGAGCTGGCAGCTGTCCTCTCCCCATCCTGGCAACAGGGCTCCTGCTCAAGAATGGGGCCCAGCGGCTACAGGGCTGCAGCCTCCACTCCCTCCCCCACCCCAAGCCCCCCACGACCACTAGCGCTGAAGTCCCAAAGGAGGAGGAGTGGGCTGGGGGATTTTGCAGGCTCCGGGGACCATTCGTCAACCAGGGGTCTGAGGTGAGGTCACTAGCCAAGAGGCCTGGGTTCGGGTCCTGCCCCGAATCCCTAACTACAGGTGGGACCACACAGCCCTCCGGTCTTCTGGGCTGAGGGGAAATGCGAGAGAGTGAGGGGGTGGCCTTTGAAGACCCGGGCAGTCCCTAAGTGGGTGGTACCGGCTCTACTAAAAAAGGAATGGAGGAGGGAAGTGCCCAGGGCAGCCCAGGGGCAGCGGGCGCCCCACACCCACCACCCGGGGCCCCTCCCGTGGCCGGGTGCACTCACAGCTTTTGGAGGCCAGTGTAGAGCTCCATGTCCACGGCATTCAGCGTGTGCAAACCTCGCCAGTTCTCTATGTGTCTGCAGGGGAGGAGGAAAGACAGGGTTCAGGTCAGCCAGGGTCCACAGGAAAGGTACTGTCTCTAGAGCCAGAGAGACCTGGGCTTGAATCCTGGATCACCCACGTGCAAGCCAGGCCTTCTGCCACATGGCCAAGTGTCCCCGAGCCTCTGTTTCTCCCTCCGCAAGGGGCCTCATGTACCACCCACCTGGGGCAATTGGCATGAGACCCAGAGCACCTGGCCCGGGAACCACATTTAATGTCCCCTCTCTGCTCCAGAAAGCTCTCCTTTTTAAAGACTCGAAACCCAGCTTCCCCTTTGGTCTTCACAACTCAGCTTCCTTCCACTCGCTCTTGTTTTCCTTTTGGGGACTTCCTAAGGACAGCTCATTTTCTCAGCAGTCCAGGAAGGCAACAAAAATGATGTGGGTTTGAAAAGGGAGAGCGGGAGGGTAGCTTGCCGGTGGGTATGGTTTTTGAGTGAAAAAGCTCAGAAGGAGCACACACCCACTTCAGGGGCCCCCAGGGTCCAGACACTGACCGCCTGGTTCGGGTGGCCACAGCCCAACCCACCTGGAGTTCAAGAACACGGATAGCTTGATTGGGCAGATCCAAGTCCAGAAAGGAGGGGACTGGCTGGGGACCAGAGAGGCACCATGGTGTCACAGAAGTAAGGTGAGACCTAGGAGCCCAGCTCCGGCTTCAACTCTGGGACCCAAAAACCAGAGGCTTTGAGCGAGAGCTCTGACCTCTCTGGGCCCCTTGTGTCATCGTTTGCAAAGGGAAAGGGTTTCACTAGATCAGCAGCTTCTCTCCTTCCCATCACAAGGTCTCCGTTTAGAGCTTTCTCCCAAGACACCTCCTGTTTAAGGAGGCTGGTGTCGAACAGGCACACTATACATTTATTAAGTAATAATTAACTTCTCTTCTAGGATTTATTGATCGAAAATATAAATCACCATTCACCAGAGCTTTTTATCAACAGATATAAACCAGCACTAACTCTCCCAGCGGATAATCAGGTCTGGCCCTGAGCAAAGGAACTCAAAAGTTCTATAAGCAGAGGAGCTGGCTTGTCCTAGGTTTGATTACTGCTCTTTTTTTTTTTTTTTTTTTGGATATTGACAAAATGCCAGAAACAAACAACCTCCATTATAGCTCTTAGGGTCCCCAGGTTGAGAACTATCCGGCCACTGATCTGTTAAGGCCCTTCCCAACTCCAGAGCGGTGTGAGACGTTACCACTCCTCCCCATCTCTATCCCACGGAGCTCCCGGGGCCTCAGGAGAAGGCCCTCTGCTGCCCACCATGCCCTCCCGGGACCCGACGCTCCCATCATCGGTGGTCGCTCTCCACGGATGTCAAAGTACCCTCTTCAGTCATCCTGCCACGCAGCCATCCGAGGCACACTGAGGCCAGAAAAGCAGCAGCCGCCTTCCCCAGACAACCCCTCCTTGGCCCCACCACACCCGTGGCTCTTCCATCTGCCACCGAGGGAAGCCAGAGCCAGGAAGGCCGCGGGGTGGCGGTGGCCAGGGCCCCTGGAAGCATTTCAAAGCAACACAGTGACAAGGTACGCGGAGAACCCATTTTGTTCCACATTCTCTCGGGGCCCCCGCTGAGCAGCCAGACACACTGGCATCTGCTGGGGACAGGGACCAGGTGGCCAGGTCGGGACTGGATTCCAAGACCAAAGTCTTCTCCCTGGAAGCCTCTCAGCTCCAGGGCGGTTTACTCGGTCTGGTCCTGCCAGGGCAGGGCCCCTGGCACCATGTCAGGTGACAAGGAATACCAGGAGGAGTAAAATGACCTGCGCCAGTGTCCCCCACGTGTGTTCACTGGGCCAGCGGTCCAGGCAAACCACCAAGTGAATGACGCTATTCCTACAGACAACCATTCATTCCCAGGAGCCCGGCCCCAGACTAGGATCTGCTTCCGACAAGCAGCTGTCGATCAGTTGTTTAAGTAAATGAAATTGTTTTCCTTCGCCCCCATCAGAAGCCCGTAAACGTGTTTATATTTATGGCCGAGTTGTCAATCATCGGTGTATTGTATCGGTTTACCGTTCTTAGCCCTCGTGTCCTGAGGGCCCCACGCCGGCCCATCCGACGTAGGCTCACTTGGAGATGCAGCGGGACAATGAATGAACTCTTTGGTGCAAAAGGCTCCTGGTCAAGAGACCCGGGCCCCTGCCCCCACTGTCGGGTCTGAGGCTCCCCGCATGGGGGAAGAGCCTTTGCACAGCCGCTGTGCCATGGCGCGGTGAAGAGCCTGGGCTCTCCCGAGCCCCGTCGACAAGCTACATTCTGCGGGCCAAATCCAGTCCACCACCTGTCTTTGTACAGCCTGAGGGCTAAGAATAGTTTGTACATTTAAAAAAAATCAAAAGCAGAATCCTAATTTGTGACATGCGAAAATCATATGAAATTCAAATTTCAGTGTTCATATCCATTCAGTGACTGGTCTATAGCTGCTCTTGTTGTACAAGGACGGAGCTGAGCTGAGGCAGCGCGGCAGAGACCTGCCTTTTATAGAAAAAACTTGCCAGCCGGGCCCCCTCCCCGCCGCCTCCAGCCAGGCTGCCAGGACGCACATCCTGGCCCCGTCGCTACCTTTGTCCACGTGTGACCCTGTCCAGGGGACATCACCTGTCTATGCCTCAGTTTCCTCATCCGTCAGATGGGCTAATAAAATACCCGCCCCCCCAGGGTAAGAGTGACGCGAAACTTGAAAGGCCCCGTTAAAAAGCCCGGACAGAACGGCAGCTCGGGACACATAGTAAGTCCTCAGGGAGCGCGAGCCGGGACGGTTATTTTTAACCCTGTGCTTTGCAGAAACTGAGCAGTCTTTTCTCAGTTTTCAAGCTAAAAATGGCATCGCGGTTCTGCTGGAAGTTGTCATTTCTCAGCAATCATTGATAAAAACTCCATGTGGCAGGCGCGTGGAGGGGCAGTAAGTCTGTCATTCATGACCTCCAGGAAAACTGCTCGAGCAGAAATGAGGAACAGGTTCAGGGAACGCACAGCCGGCAGCCCAGGACGGCTTCTGAGGCGAAGGTGCAGCCTGCCATTTGCTGATGACATCGGCGGGGCACCTGCCAAGTCCGCCGGTGACTCACGGAGCAGTGGCTCGGTACCAGCCCTGGGGGTCAGCTGTGGGAGCTCGGTGGGCTGCTGTGTGCTACAGGTTTAAGTGGGGAAGGCAGGCTCTAAAAACATAACAAATGGGATAAATATGACCATAGGTTTGGTTTGCCTTTGTTCGTGGTGAACAGTAGTTACCTTGACCTCTAGCATGTGGTTTCTCCCTCTATTGTGCTTTTCTGGATGTCGGGGCTGTCTTCCCTGAGCACTTAATGTTGTCACTTCAAAAGCAATCGATGATGATCATTGTTTAGAGGAAGGTTCGGCACTTGAACCCTGTGGGGGGCCGTTGCTGGTCACCCCCGTTCCAGGACCACAGGCTGTGCCGGGAGGAACCCATCTCGCCATGGGAGAGGAGCTCAGAGCCATGCGGGGAACTCAGGTCCGTGTGGGGCTGCCAGATTCTGTGTTCGTCCGCTCGGGCACAGAGCGCGGACCCACGGGGATCTGCACCCTTATTCTCGGTCTGCGTGCTTTCCTCGGGAACAGGGAGGGGCGGGGGCAGAGAGGAGGCTCCCATCCTGACTGAAGCACCCCACCTGAGTCACCTCTCAGACAGCGGCGCTCAGCAGAGGGTCATCCTACCCCCCAAGGGACACTGGGAAATGTCTGCAGATGTTTTTGGTGCTCACAGCTGGGAGGAAGGGAAGGATGCTGGCATCTCATGGGCAGAGGCCAGGGATGCTCCTAAAAAAATCCACAGGTGCCCAGGACAGACCCCACAACAGACAATAACTGGCCCAGAATGTCCACAGTAGGGAAGCCCTGCCTCATGTAAGGCTTATTATGCCTGAAGATGACTAGTGAAGACTGCGTTCCATGGCTTGAAACAGCAACAGTTCTGAAAATGACTGCTTTGAGAGCACCTGGGGCGGGGGGTCTCAGTTGGCAAAGCATCTGCCTTCGGCTCAGGTCATAAGCTCCAGGTGCTGGGGTCAAGTCCGCTTCCCCCCTCTCTCTGCCCCTCCCCCCACTCGTGTACATTCTCTCTCTCCTCAAATAAATTTTTTTTTAATCTTTTTTTTTTTTAAATGACTGCTTTGCAGCAAACCCTAAGAGGCACCAGCCCAAAACCAAAAAACCTGCCTCTATAGGTCCCTGGGTCCAGGTGAGAGGAGAACATCAAAAGCTATCCCAGACCCCCCAACAAGTCAAGGGCATTCCTTGAGAGGAAACGAGGGGCTCTTTGGTGCACTGGACCATGGGCCAAGCTAGGTTACACATCCCAGAAGCAATAATGTTCTCCTCCCACCCAGCTCTGGTTGGAACCCACTGTCAAGAGTCCCCACCGCCCCCCCCCCCCACCCCCACTGAGAGTTCCTCTTGCACATGGCTTACTCCTCTTCGCAATGGGAACTGCCCCATCCAAGGAGTTAACTCAGTGCCCCGTCCCTCCCCTCTGGCCACTGCCCTTCCCGGAATCACAACTCTTCACCAAGAGCGAATGTGCCGCACTTTTCCAGAGAGACGGGAGGAAGGGAGGCTTAATTCACGGCAACGCTGAGCAACCAAACCCGAGCCTGGCTTCGGGCTGCATCTCCGAAAATCTCAGCGGGGTCTAGGTGAGCCTCTGTGGTCAAAGAACACGCCGCTGTCAGGTGGGCCGAGGTGTGCGGGAGCCAAGGGACCCTGCCTGTGCCCAGCGTCTTCAGGAGCAGGAGGAAAACCACCAGAAATGAAGCCACTCGCTAGAGCACAAGTGAAATATTAATTAAAACATCCAGGGAAGAGATAAAAATCCTTTGTACTAGAATAAATTCGACTGTGCTTTTGTACCATCGCTTTCTTCCTCCTTCTGTTTGGCTGGAGCCAATATGGAAATGAACTGGCAATCTCCAAGCCTATAAAAATGAGATGGTACAGACTGTGTGGTCCATA